CTAGCATATTTAAATACACTAACAAATTGAGGACAAACACCAGCTAATACTTTATAAGCAGCTATATCAACAGTTTTGTTCCTTTTGGGATAGAGGTTTTACATACAGTAAATAACAAAAAGCTGACCATTGTAAGCACCCCTGTCAGTGTTAAATAGCTTATCTCAACCCTTTGACTGCTACAGGACATCTTGTCCTGTTGAAAAACAACAGACTTACTGGCAGGGTCAAACGAAAGAAAGCCTAAAAAAAAGAAAACAAATGCAGCCATTACATCCAAGAGCCGCAGGGGTGTGGAAATGTTTTAAAAAACTACTTGTCCAAGGGACTTAATCAAGGTCCCAATCTACTTGTATAAGAAAAAAAAGGTTGCCATCATAATTAGGTGCAATCACCTGATCATATATAATCCCCTCCTCACTTAATGTATAAAGTGTGGATTTTAAAGCAAATAGCATATGAAAAGAAATTAGCAGCTGACTAGAGCAGACCTGCCAAAAAGTGGTTTATTATAAATCCTATGCGGAGTAATAATCACTAAATTAGTGAATGCAAAAAATATTATTTATTTAGATCGCATAGATCATGAAAAGGTTGACATTTAATCATGATGAACAGTGTGCATTTTTATGATTGCACACTGTTCACCATGATTAAATGTCAACCTTTTCATGATCTATGCGATCTAAATAAATAATATTTTGCATTCACTAATTTAGTGATTATTACTCCGCATAGGATTTATAATAAACCACTTTTTGGCAGGTCTGCTCTAGTCAGCTGCTAACTTCTTTCCCAATCTACTTGTCCTGAAAAAAAAAAAAAAAAACTAAAAAATTCCCAGAATGGAAAATACAAAGGGTTGATTTGTTTTTTTAGGCAGAAGTGCTTTTAGGAATGTCTAGGGCTTTTAAAAATGAAAGGGGCTGTATTAATTTTATTTTTTGCTAGAAACTTTCTTAGAGCTCCCAAACATTGTTTTTTAAAGCAGAGGCCCTAAATAATTAATTGGTCGGCTTTGCAATTATTTTATGTCAAACAGTATTTGCACAGAGGTTTTTCAAACACAATTTTTTTTTTTTTAAATACACTTTTTGGAATTTTAATGCAAAAAGACACAATACATAACCCAATTTTTGATAAAAGATGATGTTACACCAAGTAAATAGATGCCAAACATGTTGTACTTTAAAATTGCACACAAACATGATTTGATGTCAAACAACAAAAAAGAAAACTTCCAAGCTCTATTTGTACCATGATTTGATGTGCACACTGATACCTCATGTGTGTGTGACAATTGCTGTTTGCATGCATGCGGGACTGACGCATGCATTTGTTTTTGCACGGGAGGACAGGAGTGCTTTAACATTTTTTTTTTTAATTAACAATTTATTTATTTTTACACTGTCGCTTTAATTTTTTTAATGCTTTTATTGATGTCTCAAGGAATGTAAACATCCCTTGTGACAGCAGTAGACAGAGACAGGTAATCGTTATGGAGAGATCTGGGATCAATAAGACCGCAGATCCCTCCTCTGCCCTGAAAAGCATTTGATCACACCAAGATCAGTGTGATCAAATGCTTTTCATTTTTAAAAATGGCTTTCCATCCGGGAAAGTGATGTATGCTCATCGCTTCCTGTTTCCTATATCATAGAGACAGAGTGGTGCTGGTCTTTGTCTGCCTCTATGATCATCCAGCGGAAACACTGGCTGGTTGTTTGGGTGTCCCGGATTGGACAGGCTGGACAGTGGATGGGACTCGGACAGTACAAGAAAATTAAATTTAAATTAAATTAAAATAGATAAAGTGAAAAATATACAATAATCTGCACATAACAAAAATCAGATATTACCAACAAAAATTCTATATATATATATATATATATATATATATATATATATATATATATATATATATAGTAAATAAAATAAACATTTTAATAAAATAATAAAAAATATATATCTGCAGATAACAAGAAAAACAAATACAAATTTAAATAGAAAATAATAAAAGTATCAAAATAAAGGCAAATGTAAATACAAATAGATATATTTTATAAAAAATAATAATAAAAATTAATACAAATAATTTCATACATAAAATAATTTGCAGATAGCAATCAATAATACTAGATAGTAATCACCTGTGCTTAGGACACACTAATCAATAGTGCACACTCAATGTTAATCAATAATAGGCTGCTGCTCCTATAAAGGTACAACCTTATCAATATAACACACAAAATGACAGAAGCGCTGCCTCAGTATTTGTTAAATAGCACAAAATTTGCTTTAAACAATGAATACACATCATTAATTGTGTAATCGGTAGGTGCAAGATTTCTTTCACATCCAAAAGGTGATAGGTGCTCTGTGCTCCCCACCTGGGTGCCCCTTAACTCACCAAATATAGTGGCGTCTTATGGTGAAGTAAGAGACATTACCGCTTTTGGTGGGGCATGGTCAAATCATGCTGGAGCATGTAGTCCTCCTGGTAATATGATGCTTGTCATCTTCAGTAATCCAGATATGAAGTCGGTAAAGGTATATGCATGTAAGGAATGGAAAGAGGCATCCAAAATAGTGTAATTTGGTTTATTAATTTAAAAGCAGACACACTGATATTGCACTCACGTTTCCAGAGACAATAAGCATGAATCACCAACAATACAGCAGTAGATCACCAGTAATCTGCAAACTCCTATGCTAACATCACCACGATCCGTGCCTCAATCAATAATAAACAAGAAGATTAATTGAAAAAAAAACCCCCTACAAAATCAAAAATAAAATAATAAATAATATAAAAGATATATAAATAATAAAAAAAATATTTTGCCGATAACTGTAATCAGATAATGACTACAACAATAAAGAAGAATATAAATAGAAAATCGAAATAAATTAATTTATTTATTAAAAAAAAAAGTCCATCCTCCCACAGGACCAGTCCCATCCCCCCTCGCTGCCCGTTAGCAGAGAGTGCTGCCAGTCAGAGCCAGTTGTTTTCTGTATGGTCGGCCTGATTGTGTTCTTATGGAGAGCTGCTGCACACGGAGAACACCTGACTCTGACTGGTGGCGCTCTCCACTAATGGGCAGTGGGGGGTGGAACTGGATCGAAGCGTGCCTCCACCAAGCGGGAGGGGGGTTCCACAGACTTCCTAACAGCTTGCAAAAGGCAGTTGGAGGGGACGTCCCCCCCCTTCCCTGGAGCCGCTTGGATCGCTCATACAAGAGATCCAACCGTTGGCCCTAAGCCCTGCTGCTTGCCCGCAGCAGGGCTAAATGTATAAACAATACGTCTTGCCTGGCACCCAGAACTGCGTGTCCTGGGCGTTGGGTGATAGGAATTCAACATTCTTGATCTGGTAGGCTGCAATATAATAAATGTTTGCTTTTGCTAAGGGTAGACCTGGATAAAGGAAGCATCATAGTCAAATGTGTAGTGAAGGTTGCATCTGAACTTAAGTCCCTGATCATGTGGGTCATGCCCATTCAGCTCAAAGCAACAGTCTTCCTTAATTTATCCCATCTCTAGCAGCATATCCTTTTCTTTGCTCCCCAGAGGCGGCTCCAGACCAAATTCTTTGGGGGTGCTGTGCAGGTGCTGGAAGCAAAAGTGGGGGAGCTGATGCAGCGAACATAGTGTGCAGCTCACTTTGTGTGTCAGGAATGGACTGGCCAGCAATGGTGGGACTCGCCTGCCTTTTGATCTGCAGTACCAGGGCTGGCCAGCGGGTGCTCCCAGCAATCAGAGACTCAACCTTTCAGCCAGCTAACACCTGGAACTGATTATACTGGTGTATTTAAGGGATGGCCAGACCTGCAGACTCTGCCTTGGTGTTGTGTTTGTCCTGGGCCCTGTATCTGTCCTGCATCCTGTTTCTGTTCCTTTGCTGACCCTGCCTGATCTGAACCGCTGCTGACTTCTGCTCTGATCCCGGCTCGCTCCTGACCATCCCTCTGCCTGACCCTCTGTACCACGCTGCTTGCTACCTGTTCTGATCCCTGGCTTGTGACCCTGACCATCCCTCTGCCTGACCCTCTGTACTACGCTGCTTGCTACCTGCTGAACCTGGCCTGTGACCCCGACCAATCTCCGCTTGCTCCCCCTGTACCTACCTGCCCTATTGATATTGACCCGGCCTGCCTGACGACGCTTGCTTGTATGTACTGTTATCTGTGGGTGGTTGGTTTGGTTTGTTTGCACTGTATTATGTTTTAGTATTGCACTGCGTTTATGTTTGTATTGTTAGTGTTAATAAATTATATTGTTTATCACATATCTGAAGTCTGCGTTTCCCTGCGTCAGTCACACACCTCTGGTCACAATCGGGAGCCCTGACATTACACCAAGGCCAATCCTGACCAGAAGTGGCTGCACAGGGAAGCCATCTTGGTTTGTTGATGGGAAGGATGGATCTGGATGAGGTTGCGTATTTATATCTGCTAGTGTTTGATGACAGGGAGTATGCTTATCAAACTCTGAAGGAGTATCCCCGGGATGAACTGCTAGAATGTATACGGCTCGCTCATGTTCTAGTAGATCAGGGCACAGAGTTCTCTGAGGTGCAGCCTTTGATTGAGGTTTGTGCTGAGTTGGTTTCATCTGGTACCCCCGAATGCAGGGATGAATTTTTGCCACCATTTAGTGCAGACCAGGTAGAGTCCCTGGTATGGTTATTAGAGGATGATGTGGGTTACTTTCTGGAGCGTTATTCCACATGTTCACCACAGGTACTAAGAGATTGTATAAACGCAGTGCAGTCTTTGGTCAGACAGGCTTTGTGTAAGCTCAGCTTTGTTCAACCCCTACTGCAGACATGGACAGACTTGTTGCACCCAGCCTCAGTCAGCTTACAAAAACCCAGTCCTGCTTCTAAAACCAGAAACCAGAAAAACCAGAAAACCAGAAAAAAGCGAAAATTCTTTCCAACCAATACCATCCTGCCAGTATCCAAACCGGTGAACCTGCCTTCCGTGGTTCAGCCTGAAGCCTCTACTCGGCCTGAAGCCTCTACTCGGCCTGAAGCCTCTACTCGGCCTGAAGCCTCTACTCGGCCTGATGCCTCTACTCGGCCTGATGCCTCTACTCGGCCTGATGCCTCTACTCGGCCTGATGCCTCTACTCGGCCTGATGCCTCTACTCGGCCTGAAGCCTCTACTCGGCCTGAAGCCTCTACTCGGCCGGACGCCGGCATTCAGCCTGATGCCTCTACCCAGCATGATGAACTGATCCAGTCTGACGATCCTATTAGGCCAGTTGACTCGATGCCCGCTATTGATCCAGATGATCTGGTACCTGATCCGGTGCCCGCTGTCGTGCCAATTGACTCAGAGCCCGCTGTCGTACCTGGTGACTCCGTGCCCACTGCCTTGCCAGATGACGCGGTGCCCGCTGGCGAGCCAAATGACCTGATGCCTGGTGACCCAGGGCCCGCTGTCATACCTGGTGACCCGATGCCCGCTGTCAAGCCAGACGATCCAATGCCTGGTGACCCGGTGCCCGCTGTCGTGCCCATTGACTCAGAGCCCGCTGTCGTACCTGGGGACTTGGTGCCCACTGCCTTGCCAGATGACGCGGTGCCCGCTGGCAAGCCAAATGACCTGATGCCTGGTGACCCAGTGCCCGCTGTCTTACCTGGTGACCTGATGCCCGCTGTCGAGCCAGACAATCCGGTACCTGATGACCCGGTGCCCGCTGTCGTTCCTGTTGATTCGGAGCCCACTGCCTTGCCAGATGACACGGTGCCCGCTGTCGAGCCAAATGACCTGATGCCTGGTGACCCAATGCCCGCTGTCCAGCCAGACGATTCAATGCCTGCTCCAGTGCCCGCGGTCATGCCAGTTGACTCGGAGCCCACTGCCTTGCCAGATGACGCGGTGCCCGCTGTCGAGCCAAATGACCTGATGCCTGGTGACCCGATGCCCGCTGTCCAGCCAGACGATCCAATGTCTGACCCAGTGCCAGCGGTCATGCCAGTTGACTCGGAGCCCCCTGTCGTGCCTGGTGACTCGGTGCCCGCCGCTCCGCCTGGGGGCCCGAGACCTGTCGCTCCGCCTGGGGGTCCGGCGCCCGCCGCTCCGCCTGAGGGCCCGAGACCTGTCGCTCCGCCTGGGGGTCCGGCGCCCGCCGCTCCGCCTGAGGGCCCGAGACCTGCCGCTCCGTCTGGGGGCCCGATGCCTGTCGCCCCGCCTGGGGGCCCGATGCCTGTCGCCCCGCCTGGGGGCCCGATGCCTGTCGCCCCGCCTGGGGGCCCGATGCCTGTCGCCCCGCCTGGGGGCCCGATGTCTGTCGCCCCGCCTGAGGGCCCGAGACCTGTCGCTCCGCCTTGGGGGTCCGGCGCCCGCCGCTCCGCTTGAGGGCCCGAGACCTGCCGCTCCTGCCTGGGGGCCCGATGCCTGTCGCCCCGCCTGGGGGCCCGATGCCTGTCGCCCCGCCTGGGGGCCCGATGCCTGTCGCCCCGCCTGGGGGCCCGATGCCCGCCGCCCCGCCTGGAGGCCCGGCGCTCGCCGCCCCGCCTGGGGGCCCGCCGCCCCGCCTGGGGGCAAGGCGCCCGCCGCCCCGCCTGGGGGCCCGGCGCCCGGCGCCCCTCCTGGGGGCCCGGCGCCCCGCCTGGGGGCCCGGCGCCCGCCGCCCCGCCTGGGGGCCCGGCGCCCGCCGCCCCGCCTGGGGGCCCGGCGCCCGCCGCCCCTCCTGGGGGCCCGGCGCCCGCCGCCCCGCCTGGGGGCCCGGCGCCCGTCGCCCCACCTGGGGGCCCGGCGCCCGTCGCCCCGCCTGGGGGCCCGTCGCCCCGCCTGGTGGCTCGGCGCCCGCCCCTCCGCCTGGTGGCTCGGCGCCCGCCGCTCCGCCTGGTGGCTCGGCGCCCGCCGCTCCGCCTGGTGGCTCGGTGCCTGCTGCTCCGCCTGGTAATCTGATGTGCCTCTGCCCGATGTGCCTCTGCCCGGAGTCCAGCCCGATGTGCCTCTGCCCGGAGTCCAGCCCGATGTGCCTCTGCCCGATGTGCCTCTGCCCAATGTGCCTCTGCCCGGAGCCCTGCCCGATGTGCCTCTGCCCGGAGCCCTGCCCGATGTGCCTCTGCCCGGAGCCCAGCCCGGTGTGCCTCTGCCTGGAGTCCAGCCCGGTGTGCCTCTGCCCGGTGTGCCTCTGCCCGATGTGCCTCTGCCCGGTGTGCCTCTGCCCGGAGTCCTGCCCGATGTGCCTCTGCCCGGTGTGCCGCTGCCCGGAGTACTGCCCGGTGTGCCAGTCTTTGATATCCCGCCAGTTACCTGACCCGGGCGGTGGAACATTTTGCCCAGCTAGGACTGTTTGGAGCGTCCTGAGGCCGCTCCTTGAGGGGGGGGGGTACTGTCAGGAATGGACTGGCCAGCAATGGTGGGACTCACCTGCCTTTTGATCTGCAGTACCAGGGCTGGCCAGCGGGTGCTCCCAGTAATCAGAGACTCAACCTTTCAGCCAGCTAACACCTGGAACTGATTATACTGGTGTATTTAAGGGATGGCCAGACCTGCAGACTCTGCCTTGGTGTTGTGTTTGTCCTGGGCCCTGTATCTGTCCTGCATCCTGTTTCTGTTCCTTTGCTGACCCTGCCTGATCTGAACCGCTGCTGACTTCTCCTGCTCTGATCCCGGCTCGCTCCTGACCATCCCTCTGCCTGACCCTCTGTACCACGCTGCTTGCTACCTGTTCTGATCCCTGGCTTGTGACCCTGACCATCCCTCTGCCTGACCCTCTGTACTACGCTGCTTGCTACCTGCTGAACCTGGCCTGTGACCCCGACCAATCTCCGCTTGCTCACCCTGTACCTACCTGCCCTATTGATATTGACCCGGCCTGCCTGACGACGCTTGCTTGTATGTACTGTTATCTGTGGGTGGTTGGTTTGGTTTGTTTGCACTGTATTATGTTTTAGTATTGCACTGCGTTTATGTTTGTATTGTTAGTGTTAATAAATTATATTGTTTATCACATATCTGAAGTCTGCGTTTCCCTGCGTCAGTCACACACCTCTGGTCATACTCGGGAGCCCTGACATTGTGTGTGTGGGCGTGGCAAAGAGGTGGCTGTGGCCAAAATGGGAGTGGGCAAACATGTTTCTTCCTGGTCTATAGCTTGTAGTATGCCACCTTTCCCCCTTTGTATAGACTAAATAGGTCCTGGAGGTACACTGAAGGGATTGTGGACATAAAATAAGCTCCATTGGGGCCAGAAATGCAACCCCTAGCAAGGTGTCAAGGCCAGAAATAACCTCAAGTCAGTGGGGTAGTTAAGTATAGTAATTCAACAGCTGCAAAGAAGCCGGAGAGCCATCTAAAGACTCAAACACTGAGACCAGGCCATGTAGTCAAGCACTCTTTCCCATGCCAATGCCATAAGTTCTTCCAGACCACTTCCCCTTTGCACCACAAGCCCCAATCTTCTCATATCAATCTAGCTTGGATGGCGCTTCTGGCAGCCCTGAGTCCCAGCAGCCTGTGAGTACTATAGACTAGATGTCAGGAAAAGTTAAATACAGACTGTCACTGTGGTGCATGGATGTTGCTCCACCACAAATATAACAATATGCTGCTCCACCACAAATAACACAGTATGCCGCTCCACCACAAATAATACAGTATGCCACTCCACCACACATAATACAGTATGCCGCTCCACCACAAATAATACAGTATGCCGCTCCACCACAAATAATACAGTATGCCGCTCCACCACAAATAATACAGTATGCCGCTCCACCACAAATATTACAGTATGCCACTCCACCACAAATATAACAATATGCCGCTCCACCACAAATAATACAGTATGCCGCTCCACCAAATATTACAGTATGCCGCTCCACCACAAATAATACAGTATGCCGCTCCACCACACATAATACAGTATGCCGCTCCACCACACATAACACAGTATGCCGCTCCACCACAAATAATACAGTATGCCGCTCCACCACACATAACACAGTATGCCGCTCCACCACACATAACACAGTATGCCGCTCCACCACACATAACACAGTATGCCGCTCCACCACACATAACACAGTATGCCGCTCCACCACAAATAACACAGTATGCCGCTCCACCACAAATAACACAGTATGCCGCTCCACCACAAATAACACAGTATGCCGCTCCACCGCAAATAACACAATACAGAGACCTGTTCAGTGAACACCAGTGGCAACTCTAGGAACAATATATACAGTGGGGATCGAAAGTTTGGGCACCCCAGCTAAAAATTTGTATTAATGTGCATAAAGAAGCCAAGGAAAGATGGAAAAATCTCCAAAAGGCATCAAATTACAGATTCGACATTCTTATAATATGTCAACAAAAGTTAGATTTTATTTCCATCATTTACACTTTCAAAATAACAGAAAACAAAAAAATGGCGCCTGCAAAAGTTTGGGCACCCTGCAGAATTTATAGCTGGCACTGCCCCCTTTGCAAAGCTGAGACTTGCCAGTGTCATGGATTGTTCTCAATCATCATCTGGGAAGACCAGGTGATGTCAATCTCAAAGGTTTTAAATGCCCAGACTCATCTGACCTTGCCCCAACAATCAGCACCATGGGTTCTTCTAAGCAGTTGTCTAGAAAACTGAAACTGAAAATAGTTGACGCTCACAAAGCTGGAGAAGGCTATAAAAAGATAGCAAAGCGTTTTCAGATGTCAATATCCTCTGTTCGGAATGTAATTAAGAAATGGCAGTCATCAGGAACAGTGGAAGTTAAAGCAAAATCTGGAAGACCAAGAAAAATATCAGACAGAACAGCTCGCAGGATTGTGAGAAAAACAATTCAAAACCCACGTTTGACTGCACGATCCCTCCAGAAAGATCTGGCAGACACTGGAGTTGTGGTACACTATTCCACTATAAAGAGATACTTGTACAAATATGGTCTTCATGGAAGAGTCATCAGAAGAAAACCTCTTCTACGTCCTCACCACAAAAATCATCGTTTGAACTTTGCAAATGAACATACAGACAAGCCTGATGCATTTTGGAAACAAGTGCTGTGGACCGATGAGGTTAAAATTGAACTTTTTGTCCGGAATGAGCAAAGGTACGTTTGGAGAAGAAGGGGCACAGAATTTAATGAAAAGAACCTCTGTCCAACTGTTAAGCATGGGGTTGGATCAATCATGCTTTGGGGTTGTGTTGCAGCCAGTGGCACAGGGAACATCTCACGAGTAGAAGGAAAAATGGATTCAATAAAATTTCAGCAAATTTTGGATGGTAACTTGATGCCATCTGTGAAAAAGCTGAAGTTAAAGAGAGGATGGCTTCTACAAATGGATAATGATCCTAAACACACCTCGAAATCCACGGGGGATTACATCAAGAGGCGTAAACTGAAGGTTTTGCCATGGCCTTCACAATCCTGACCTCAACATAATTGAAAATCTATGGATAGACCTTAAAAGAGCAGTGCGTGACAGACAGCCCAGAAATCTCAAAGAACTGGAAGACTTTTGTAAGGAAGAATGGGCAAAGATACCTCAAACAAGAATTGAAAGACTCTTGGCTGGCTACA